ATTTTTGTGATATAAGAATGATATAAGAATATGTTGTTAACAAAATCTATAAAGTTATTATCGGAGTTCATTAGCATCATCAATTTCTCTTTGATCATCTAAATTAAATAAAAAAGAACACGGTCAGAGTAAAGTTGAGTAACCACTTTAAAATTTAAATAGAGAAACAGTATGAAGCAAAATGATGCAGTGATCCAAGAAATACCAGATATTTTATTAAAACAAAACGATTAACTATTAGTTTGTTTAGGTTACACTGTAATATGTAAATTTATTAATTTTTCTATAGGAAACGTTAGCACGTATTGAGGAAGTGGAATGTTTAAAAACTTAAATACAGTGTTTACTTGCAACGTTATGATCATATGTAATTTCAACATTACCGCAATCTCAAAATTAGTGTCAATATTTGTTCGTAAAAATGGTCTATACAGCATTAGAAATGAAATATTTAAAAATATTATAAAACATTACATATTAAAACAATATTATTATGACATTATCCCATAGAAATGTCCGTGGAATCGAGGTGGAAATAACGTGGAATCGACTTCTTTACGTGGATTCCATGGGGTATTCATGTTATAATAATATTGTTGTAATGTTTTCTTGCTTACTGGGTCTATACTTATACAGACTTTGATTTTGTAAAAGTTATCATTCTGAATAATATTTCGGGAAAAAAATGTAATGTATAATTATATAAAAATATATATGATTATATATAATTATATATAAATTTTGCCCATACATATATAATTTTACATATGATTATATCTACCTAGATAGAAAAATATGTTTATTCTGAGCTCATGTTGTACTCATATATCTTCAAAATATGAGGACAAGAATACACACCGATAAGGGCTCATATATAGCTCATATAGTTCATGTCATGATGTCACAAAAATATCTCATTTAATAAAAATAATCAACATTATGTCAAGAACCTTCAACATAATTTGTACATCATTTGTGTGCATTTCGTATTCAGGTCATAAAATCACGTAATGATCTTTAAAAAAGTATTAAATTGAAATCATAGTATGAAGTCACATTATGATTATTACGCATTTCTATCTGGGTAATTATATAGTGTGTCCTAGACTCTCCTCCGTAATTTTTGTGAAAACGTATAAGGGAACGTAACGTTGAGATGAACATAAAGACTCCATACCGTTTTGCGATATTCGCAGTAATAATCAAGAAATTAATTATAAAAAATGAAGGAAAGGCGCGTCTTGAATGATAGAGAAAACAGCGTTCGAGCCGTAGCGACCCAGTACTATAGTGCGCAGATGCACTATGGAAGAACAACACGCCGCGCACCAGCATTTTTATGTTCACCTTATTCGTTCTATTCTCACAAAAATTGCACACGAATCTGAGACACCCTATGTATGTCCATATATAAAATAAATATTGTTGAATAAAAAAGGAAAAATATATTCTGATTCAATTAAACGTCGATATCATATATTGGGAGTACAAATTAGTTCAGTCCGTTTTTTTGTGGTCAAAAATGCATTTATTTAAGAACAAAATGAATGAACAGATTAATCAAAGTATTGTCCATCACTGGCTATCACTTTTTCCCACCTCTCAGGCAATTTTCGAATTCCATCTCGAAAAAATATCTCGTCTTTTGAGGCGATCCAAGTTAGGAGCCAATTTTCGATTTCTGCGAAAGAAGTAAACCGGTGACCTGCCAAATCGTGCTGCATCCGTCGGAACAACCAGTAATCAGAAGGAGCAATGTCCGGCGAATACGGCGGGTGCGGTAAAATATCCTTGAGCGTTTTCAAATAATTTTTTACGACTTTTGCGACATGAGGCCGAGCGTTATCATGCAGAAGAATAACTTTGTCATGTTTTTGCTCGTATTCCTGCCGTGTTTCTCGTAATGCACGGCTCAAACGAATCAATTGTTGCGTAACTCCCAATGATTCTGCAAGCTCCTCTTGCGTTTGACTCGGATCTTCATCGAGTAATGCCTCCAATTCTTTGTCTTCGAATTTTTTTGGCTGTCCAGAGCGAAGCTTGTCTTCAACGCTGAAATCACCATTCTTGAAACGTCGAAACCATTCCCTACATGATTTATCAGTTGGAGCATTGTCACCATAAACTTCTACAAGCATTCGATGCGCTTCAGTTGCACTTTTCTTCCAATTAAAGCAGAAAACTAAAACCTCCCGCAAATGCTGCTTAGTTAACACAAAATTTGACATATTCAACACAGTAAAAAACAAGGGTTTTGTATGAAACTCAAAGCGATATAAACTGAATATTATTGACAGATGTCTAACCTCTCTGAAACCACCGGAATCAGCTGTCACTATGAAACATTCATAACAGCCAGAGCTATCTTTTGAAAACGGACCGAACTAATTTGTACTCCCAATACTATCATAAACATAAGCATTTACTTTAATTGTATTTTTACCATACCGTTCTTTTTAATATGGATATAATATAATTATATGTGATCATATATAGCCATATATGGGAAAATATTAGGGATATGCCGGATACTGAATTTACCGGATACCGGATATCCGATAATTACGTGATACCGGATATTCGGTACTAATTTCTAAAGAAATTTCTATATTAACATTTACATAAGTAATATATTATATAACGTTTGCCTATATTTGCCATATAATTTAAGGGGCACTAGAACGGTTTTATTTTCCGAGAATTGAGTGAAATTCGAATGACGATTGTCGACAAACAAACGTACATAATTTGTTTTTTTTTTAGTTTTTATACATACTTTTAGGAATACAATAAGCGGTAGAAGTTCAAAAAATATTAATAATTGAGTGAGATATTAAAAAAACGTTAAATTAAAAAAACGTTTTTGCGGTATTGCCACGATTCCGGGGAAACAAGTTGGAATTTTTTAATACGCCAAACGTCATTTTGTAGATGAGATTTTTTTCTATAGATTGAACCGAAATGGAATTAAAAATCTAGAAAATTAGAGAAATAACGGAAAAAAACCAAAAATATCTAAAAATCCAAGTTATTTATTATTAAAAAATTAATTTTCAGGCAAACTTCAATCTATGCAATACGTCTTTATCTTTAATTTAAAAAAAAAAGATTAAGTCGATATTTTTAGCCGTCCTTGAGTAATCGCGGTAAAACGAGCGGAAAATACCATTTTGAAAAATAAACAACCAACTATTTCTACTACCGACCGACTGACTGTTCTCGTTTCCTTTGTTGTTACTCTTATATTTGTTAGTAGTGACCTCCACACGCCTATAGACTTTGTTTTCAATATTATTATTTTTAAGTTTTAGAAACGTTATTACTGTTTATCAGTTTGTTTTAAATAAACAATATCTATATTTCTATATGATCACACGCGCTCCGCCGGGCACGCGCCGCCTCACATTTTTCTTGAACTAAATTTTGCGAATATCGAGGTTCTTTTTGCGTCAAAATGTTCTAAATTGTACTAAATGATTATATAAAAATCTAAAAATCGCTTTTTTGAAGATTTCAAACTGTTCTAGTTCCCTTAATACATACTTGGTCATTAAAATCGATCATAAGATGTTTTTGCAGAATATCTACACCACATAGTTTACAACGAGATTGTTTCAATTGTACACAGACTCAAGGAACATTCGCGAAGTGTATGTTTCCGATTTCGATAAAACTTAACATATTTATAGAATGACCAAAAATAAGAGATCCATATTTTTTTATCGGCAATGGCTCAGGTTTATGGGGTGAAACCCTCAAAGTTTCATGCTCTTTTTGCTATCTCTGTAACTATTGGAGATTGAAAAAAAACTTGTTAACCATTTTATTTTTTATGAAAAACCGCAAACTTTTGTCTAAAAAGTTTTTTCCTATTTCCAATAGTTACAGAGATAGTAAAAAGAGCATGAAACTTTGAGAGGTAGTTTCACTCCTTAAACCTGCGCCATTGCCGATAAAAAAAATATGGATCTCTTATTTTTGGTCACTCTATAAATATGCAAAGTTTCATCGAAATCGGAGATACACACTTCGCGAATGTTCCTTGTCAGTTGCAAACTACCAACCGGTGCTCTGCTTTATCTACTTTAGTAATTACTAAATCCAATTAGATCTAACAAATCATTACACTCTGCGTCCAATCGGGCTGTGTGCAACTGGGCCTCAGTCCTTACAACAGAGTTTTTGTTTCTTTTCTTATGGCTTTTGCAGACCAGCACGATGTGCGACGCAACATGTGATATGTAACGAGCAATATTCAATTAGAGCACTGAATTAGAGTATTCCGATAAAACTGTACGCTCATTGGATATCGCGCGTCGCATATCGTGTATTGTGATGGTCTGAGAGAGTGCATTACTCTGGCAGCACTGCTCAGCTTTGTTGAAAATAAATCTTCAGAAAGATTGTATATTACAGAGTTGACTTAATAAAAGATAATTAGTTTGTTCTTAGAGAACTTCCCGGGAAAAAAAATTCAGATAAAAGTCAGATATGAATTTTGTCAAGAACTGATCAGATATAATCAGATATAATTCAGATATGATTCAGATCTGATTATATTTGATCAGATCTGGACAAAATCCATATCTGGCTTTTATTTAAACTTTTTTCCCTGGGTTTGAACTTCGAATCCTGCATTAATGACACAAACTTTCAAATTTATACTAACAAATTAATATCCGGTTATCCGGCCGGATACTAATGAAATCGGGCTATCCGGCCGGATTGTAAAAAGATGGTCGGATACCTGATAGTTGCCGGATATCCGGCATATCCCTAGAAAATATGAACTTTTTTCCCGGAGTTAAAAATATTATAATCGTTCTTCATTGTTCTTTTTAAAGTTCTAAAGACTTTATTCGACATATTTTTAAGAACTAAATTCTCCGAACAAAAATCGGTGAATTATACTTAAAATGAATTACTTTGTCTACAATTATGTAAGAAGTTAAATAAGAGAATATTTCGCCTGTGTAAAATTATAATTTACTTTTGTGTAGTACTACAATACGGATTTGTCACAATTTTTGTTGCTGCATTTCCTTTGGCGCCATTTTTCGCTCTATTGAATAACGTTTTTGAGATGAGACTGGATGCGAAAAAATTGCTAACCATGTATAGAAGACCAGTTGGACAACGAGTCCGAGATATAGGTATTTGGTATCGCATTTTGGATTCCATTTCTAAATTATCCATCATTACTAACGTAAGTATACTTTTTATTTACATTTATGTGTCACACATGCACACGTACATTTATTGATTATATTAGGTGGTAAACTTAGTTCCTGCGATTTTTTTGTTTAAAAAACTCATTTATTTCGACATCAAAAGCAAAAAATACATTAATCGAAGTATTTTCCCTCGCTAGCTATACATTTTTCCCATCTTTCGGGCAACGCGTAGATTCCACGACGATAGAACGATTTTGATGCAATCCATTCGTCGATCCATTTTCGCACATCCTCGTAATTTCTGAAGTGTGTATCCACCAATCCGTGCTGCATCGACCGGAACAAGTAATAGTCCGAAGGAGCTAAGTCTGGTGAATACGCTGGGTGCGGGAGAACTTCCCACTCGAGCTGCATCAGTGTTTCTTTGACGGCTTTGGCAACGTGTGGTCGAGCGTTGTCGTGCAAAAGCATGACTTTACGTCGATTGCTGGCTACTGCTGGCCTTTTTTCCAACAATGCTTCATTCAGACGGTTTAATTGTGATTGATATCGATCCCCCGTGATACTTTCGTTCGGTCTGAGTAGCTCATAATAAACGACGCCGTGCATATCCCACCAAATGCAAAGCATTGCTTTGTGGCCATGAATATTTCTCTTTGGTGTGGATGTCGATGGTTGGCCAGGGTCTACCCATGATTTTCTTCGTTTAGGATTATCGAAGTATATCCATTTTTCATCGCCAGTCACTATGCGCCACAAAAAACTCTTCTTTTTCTGCCTGGCGAGCAGAGAAATAGAGATGTTTAAGCGATTCGCAATGGCATTTGCGGTTAATTCGTGTGGTACCCATTTTCCCTCCTTTTGAATTTTTCCCATTGCATGTAGACGTTTGGAAACAGCCATCGGAGTAACATTTAATGCTGCAGACAATTCTTGGAGCGTTTGAATAGAGTTTTCGTCCAATAATACCTGTAAATCGGTGTCTTCAAACTTTTTCGGTTGGCCTGAGCGTTCTTTATCATTGACATCAAAATCACCACTCTTAAATCGCTGAAACCATACTTGGCATGTTCTTTCCGATGGAGCATAATTGCCATAAGCTTCGAAAAGCAATTTATGAGCTGCAGCTGCAGTTTTTTTTAAGTCAAAGTAATGAAGCAGCACATGTCGAAAAAACAACTTATCACGTTCCATATTTAATCAAAAGAAAAAATAGCACTGCTCGCTTAAATGAATTTCTTCGCACTGAATTTTATTGACAAATGTCTAACCTCTAAAATGCAGCCAGTTTCAGATGTCACAATAAATTACACCTACAACTAACGTCATCTAACTGTGAGCCGCAGGAACCAAGTTTACCACCTAATATTTCAACACCCCCTAATATTTTCAGTAAGAATGCATTTTGGAAAAATGTCCAATAGCAAAGTTGTACGGTTTCAAGCGGTGATGCTAGTAGGCTACGGCGGAATACTGCCCGAAAGTGATCGCGAGAAGCTGCTCAAATGCGTGATGTCCGAAGGCGTTAGCGGAAATCTGCCCGAAAGCGTTGGCGGGGCCGATCTTTATTCTCTCACTCTCGCAGGCACCAATGTACGAGCTCTTGAGCAAACAATACGGATCACTGATTTTAATTTTTGATGCAGTGCTGTCTTCTTCTTAGCGAGCAGCAGTCACCTCGTGGACGAAAACAAACAACCCCAAAAATTTAAAATTTAAAAAAGTACTTAATGAAAAAATGTTTTATTCTAGCGTTTTGGAAAACTCTCGAGATAAGCTATAAGAATATGCAATAAAATGTAGAGGGTTCCATTTAAAAGAATAAGGTTGACCTTGAAATGACCTTGAAGGACATGGTCAAGGTCATCATCTTACTCCCCGCTTGAAACCATACAACTTTGCTATTGGACATTTTCTCCAAAATGCATTCTAACTGAAGATATTTAGGGGGTCCGATACTTTTTGATGACCCTGTACACACACACACACACACACACACACACACACAGGGTGTCTCATTTTAAATTACGCACCTGAATATCTCGTCAGGGGAGCCATCAATCTGAAAATAACCCTTACAAAAGTTGTTGGGTTCGGAGGGGGACATCGGATGGTGATTTTCAATTTCACTTTGTCCTTGAGCTTCAAAGTCATTTGAAAGTTAAATCGAATTTTTAAATAGCAACCTCTATTTTTTACCCCGGATTCGGAAAGAGCGCAAAATTTTACGTTTAGATGAATACTTGAGGCTCTTCTTTGGAATGACCTTCAGAGGTTATTTCAAGGACAAAATATTTGAAATTACGCACCTGAATACATATTTTGTCGGGGAGCCATTAATCCAAATAACCCTTACAAAAGTTGTTGGGTTCGGAGGGTGACATCGTATGGTGACTTTCAATTTCACCTTGACTTTGACCTTTAACGTCATTTAAAGGTTAAATAAAATTTTTCAAATAGAAACTTTAAAGTTATGTTAAGAGTCGAAATGACCTTTAAAGATTATTTCAAGGTCGAACTGCTTACAAGTCTAGCATGACCTGAAAACTAAAATTGATCGTGGTTTGTTTTTTAAGATATTTGAATTAGTAGTCATTCATATAAAATAAAATTGTTCGCACCAGAGCGTTCAGTCATCGACATAATACATACATCGATGTCCAGGGCCCACGTTGATTGTGTTTCAACGAAGATTTGAATTTACATAAACGTTTAAATTTTGTAAAAATGGGTTCATCATTGTGAGTTTGATACACATGTTCTCATATCTTGAATTTTTTTCCTAAACGTTATTAACACAAAAAAATTAATGTAATTGTGCCGGAGCCTGTTCTCGTTACAAAACTGTAGTTCTTTTTGCTGTACAGTTGAATTAAAATTGTTTTCTTTGTCGATGTTTGGTACTATTAGCGTATATTTCCTGATAAATTGTTGTAATGGGATACATATCTCAAATTGTGAAACTTGATAATAATGGTGGAATATTTGAAAATTTAATAAGGTAAACCCTAATAATAATAATGATTTTTGCCTTAATCGGCTGGTTTCTCTATGGTCTTGCCTTAATTGGCCGGATAATGAATCTTGCCATCATTGGTCGGATTCGTCACGGTCTTGTCTTCATCGGCTCAACCAAAATAGGGCCTTAAAATCCATCCTGCTACGTTCTCGCCACGAGCCCTGGACATCGATGTATATATTATGTCCTTGACTGAACGCAGGCTCTGGTGTGAACAATTTTATTTTATACGAATGACTACTAATTCAAATATCTTAAAAAACAAACCACGATCAATTTTGGTTTTCAGGTCATGCTAGACTTGTAAGCGGTTCGATTTTGAAATGATCTTTAAAGGTCATTTTGACTCTTAACATAACTTTAAAGTTTTTATTTAAAAAATTTGATTTGACCTTCAAATGACCTTGAAGGTCAAGGTCAAGGTGAAATTGAAAGTCACCATCCAATGTCCTGTTCCGAACCCAACAACTTTTGTAAGGGTTATTTGGATTGGTGACTCCCCGACAAGATATGTATTCAGGTGCGTAATTTCAAATATTTTGTTCTTAAAATAACCTCTGAAGGTCATTCCAAAGAAGAGCCTCAAGTACCCATCTAAACGTAAAATTTTGCGCTCTTTCCGAATCCGGGATCAAAAATAGGGGTTTCTATTTAAAAATTCGATTTGACCTTCAAATGACCTTGAAGGTCAAGGTCAAGGTGAAATTGAAAATCACCATCCGATGTCCCCCTCCGAACCCAACAACTTCTGTAATGGTTATTTTCGGATTGGTGGCTCCCCTGACGAGATACTCAGGTGCGTAATTTAAAATAGGACACTCTGTATATATCAGGACGTTGAATAAGTTCTCGCTGTTTTCCAACAGATGGCATTACCAGAACTGCGTACGTAGTTTAAGTAACGCATCTATAAGGAAGTACTATAAGCAAGCTTGAAATTCAGTGTATGTCATTTCGCCGAAGTGTAAACAACTTTTTTTCATAGTGTTAAACATGTCGAGATTCGTGCCAAAAAAAGAGTATTTGCGGGGAATTTTACTGCACTACTTTATTCAAAAAAAAATCTGCAGCACACAGAATTCTTGTTGAGACTTATGGCGACCATGCTTTGTCGGAAACAACATGCAGAGATTGGTTTAGACGCTTCAAAAATAATGATTTTGATGTTGAAGATAAAGAACGCTCTGGCGCACCGAAAAAGTTTGAAGACGAAGAATTGGAGGCATTACTTCATGAAAACTCATGTCAAACGATAGCTGAACTTGCAGAATCATTAGGAGTTGATCACACAATAGTTTCGATACGTTTGAAAGTATTAGGAATGATTCAAAGGCAAGGACATTGAGTGCCGTACGAGTTGAAGCCGAGAGACGTCGAACGGCGTCTTTTTACGTGTGAACAGCTGCTTCGACGGCAGAAAAGGAAAGGTTTTCTGCATCGTATTATGACGCGATGAAAATTGGATACACTACGATAACCCTAAGCGTAGAAGATTGTGGGGTAAGCCCGGCCATACATCAACATCGTTGGCAAAGTCGAATATCCATGGTTCGTAGTTTCTGCTCTGCATTTGATGGGATCAGCTGGGTGTAATTTATTATGAGCTGCTCAAATCGAACGAAACCATCACGGGAGATCGCTATTGACTACAATTGATGCGTTTAAGCCGAGCATTGAAGGAAAAAATGGCCGCTATACGAGCAGAGACACGACAAAATGATTTTGCAACATGACAACACTTGTTGCACAACCGATGAAAACCTACTTGGAAACGCTTAAATAAAAAGTCTTAACCATAGAAGGAAGAGGGCATACTAGGTGGCGGCGGGACGCCGTGCGTTTGAGATCTGCGTATCTTTTTCGTTCCAGAAAGAGAAAAATATCGAGAGCGCGGTCCTGCTAGGCCGGGACTCGAACCCGGGTCTTTTGCTTGCCGGGCGACTGCTCTAAACCACTGAGCTACCTGACGCTTCACGCTCACGACACTCTCCTCTTCCTAGATAACGCTCAGAG